AAAATTAACATGCTCCATACTGACGCTTCATGAACTTGAACATCTCAATAAATGACAAACAACTTCAATTTGCTTAACTGATAGTCATGAATAACATCATGTCTAGATAAGGCTGAGTAGATCAGAAATAAAATCCAGGATAACTAAAATGGCTTGTTCTAATCAGAAGTACTCACATGTTGGTCTGGCAAGATCCGGACGGGAAACCCGAATCTCCGAGGGTGCAGGGAAAGTCGTGCTCTAGCGTCTCTGTGGCGTGGAGGCCATCGCCGAGGGGACTCACCGGCGCCGGGCAGGGCTCCTCGGCGGGAGCGGGCGCCACGTGGACCGCTCCGTTGAGCGGCGTCTGCTCGTCCGGCTGCGCCTCGAGCACCGAGAGCTCTAACTCGGCTCGTGGCGCTAGGGGCTCGGCCCCTTCCATGGGCCGCAGGGAAGGTCGCGGCCGCTCCGCTGAGAGGCAGGACCGACACCCCTGGAGGCAGGGGCAGAGTCCAAGGTCGGCTCCCGGGCCCGCACTCCGCCCACCAGGCAGGGCGCGCCCGTAGACCTCGGGCGGCGGGAGGGGCGGGGCGAGCGCGCCACCGACCGGCACCCGGGTCCAGGGAGGCTCCCCGGTTCTGCCGGGTAGAGCGGCTGAGGCCGTGCCCAGCCGTGGGCTCCTGGGCGGAGGAGGGCTGTTTTTCTGGTTTGTTCGGGACGCTCCCTGCATTGCCTTTCCCTGCGCGTGCGGATGCAAACCTCCCAGCGGAGGGCCCGGCGGGGTGTGGGACTGTGGATGGAAAGGAAAAGTGGGCCCAGCAGCGCCGCCCAGGGAGGAACGTTTGCATTCTGCCCCCAGTCCCTGTGGGTTGCTGGTGCTTGCCCCAAGCCTCGCTGCCTAGAACAAAGTGCATTCATTGAATCCACAGATCACCAAGAAGCATCTACCGCGCGCTGGACCTGGTGCTAGGTTCTGAGCACGCGAAGATGAATAATACACCTGGACATGCTTCCTCTTACACGTCCTTAGTCGAACAAAGAGACAGTGTTGGGTTGGGGAGGAGGGGCACCGCACAGTCTAGAACCAGGTTATCTGGGCTATTCCACTCAGAGGGATTTTGTGTGTGTGTGTGTGTGTGTGTGTGTGTGTGTGTGTGAGTCGTAGTCTCACTCTGTCACCCAGGCTGGAGTGCAGTGGCAGGCTCACGGCCACTGCAGCCTCCTCGACCTACTGGACTCAGGCGATCCTTCCGCTTTAGCCTTCCAAGTACCTGGAACTACAAGCGTGCGTCACCACGCCCAGCTAATATTTTTGATTTCTTGTAGAGACGAGATCTCGTCGTGTTGTTCAGGCAATCCTCTTGCCTCCACCTCCCCAAGTGCTGCGATTACAGGCATGAGCCACAACGCCCGGCTTAGAGGGCTTTTAACGGTAAGCCTCGGGTTTTATCAATCTGTGCCAATCCTCACCTGGAAAATTGGCCATAATATTAATACCTGCCTAATGGACTTGTTGCCAGGATTAAAGAATTGAGGTAAGTAAAGTACTCAGAAAACGGACACCGCAAGCACTAATAAATGTTGGCTATTATTGCTCATCTTTGAGGGGAGAGGCCATAGACACTCTCCCACAGATGAAAAAGCACACGGGCACACACAATGCCCTTGATAGCCAATTCACAGTTCAGAACTTCCGGTTTAGTGAGCTTGGAATTATGTTTGCTAAACAGTATGTGTTGGGTCAAGAGTTTCACCTCTCAGGCTCCTGTGCAGAGCAGCCTTGCTCCCTACTTCTCACCCTCTTCCCCCAGTAAGTGCACACAGTTTGGGGCATCAATGGGAAGCATATAAATTAGCTCCATTTCAGAGATGTTGACCTGAGTCCAAAAGTCTGGCAGCCTCCATGCCTACTGTTGAGACACTTTGACTAGATAGCATCATATCTCCGGTTGTTTAATGCACTTGAACTTTGCACTCCACATTTGCACTCCACTGCCATGCTAACTCCAGTGATTCTGTGGCTACCTGTACTTCTGCTCTCTCTGTCTAACAGGCAGATCCTGCAGAAATCAGGCTGCATTCTCTGCTGAGATTTTTAAAGAGGCTTTTTAGCCAAGGAGCAAGGTTTAAGGGAGTCCACCAGGAATGCTGAGGTACCCAGGAACTAGCAATTGCAGGAAACTGTTAGCACCCCTTGGCCTGAAAGGGACTGGAGACTGATTAAGACCTGGAAACACTGAAGAGGGCGTGGGGTAGTTCCAGACAGGATCTGTAGTCACAACAAAATACAGACCTGACCAGAAGCACAGAGACCTCTCAGTTCCCTGACACCAGCCCCATCCTTACTCAGGACCCAGATGACTTTATTCAGTTGCCTCATTTATTGCAGGAGCTCAATGTTAGAGGGAAATTCCATCTCATGGCAGATGATTTGTAGCTCTCTTCCAAGCCCGCTTTCTCTAGGCAGATGTAATTAAAGTCTCCTTCACTACCCCCAGAGAATCAAAAACAACAGTTTCTGTCACAAGCACATGCTAAACCACATCCCCTAATGTCTTTTGAGCACTGAAAGGTATTCTCTAATCTAGACTTGAATGCATTTTCATAATTCCATATGCCTAACCCTCATCCCTATGGTACAGTGGAAGGAGTATAAGTTTCAAAGGCAGGCAGAAATAAAATCAAATTTGGATTTTGATCTCACTGTGTGTTCTTGGGCAAGTCATTTAATGTCTATCAGCTTCTTAGTATAAAATGACTCCTAACGAGTCAGGAAGATTAAATAAAGTAATTAAGTAAAGCATGTATTCCTTGCCTGAAAAATAAAAGGATCTCAGTAAATGCTCCCTTATTTTCCACGACCATATTTTTGAACTAATACCCATCCACCCCCAACCCTTAGCATTCAGCACTAAACTTTGGTTTAATATGTCATCTTTTGACATTGATTTTTCTTCCTGTCCAATTTTCTTGATCACTGACACCTTCCAATATTACCTGAATTACTTAAATTGTAACTTGTACCCTGTTCCTGCTTCTATTAATTGCAAATTTCTTAACCTCTAGACAGCTGACCTAGAATGCAGATGAGAGTCCCAACCCTTACCTGAGAACTTTTTTCATCCTACCAATTTGACTTCACATTAAGGATGAATTAGGAAAAAGTGTTTTCCATGGTGGTAATTCAGGTTTATATTATATTATATTATATTATATTATATTATATTATATTATATTATATCATATCATATCATATCATATCATATCTCTTGATGAAAATTAAGCATTTGGGAATGAGGGACCAATTCTTCATAGATTTATTTTTGCGAATTTCTTCAGAATTTATTTCTATAAAAGTAGTTTTTTAAAACATACTATTATTTCACAAATAGTCTCTTTAATAAAATTTTAAATTAGTATTGATTCCGTTGCTTTAGGTTGTTCAAAGAGTCAAATTTAAATACCATTAAAAAATTAAAGTATACTTGTTGTCAAGACTTGCTGGCCAGTGTAAGATTTTCGATTTTGCTTCTCTTGTCTTCTTTCTTCATCCTCTTTAGGAGCAAAGAATCTTCCAAATAGTTATTATATGAGCCAAAAAACAAAGCAACAGCATCAAAGTGATATTACCAATGCACCAAAACATTTATTACCTTCGAATAGGTCTTTGCCTCCTCAGTACACACAGTGTACCTGTGTGTTGCCAGAAGGCAAGCCATACTACCCTGAACATCAGCAATTGGGTCAGCCATTCAGGTTATTCAAGTAGAAAATGATTGAGAAATAATTGACTTGTCATGCTTCATGTTTTCAATGCACTATGAAAGAGGACATGAGTTCCTACAAATTCCCCCCCAATAATCTAGCACATGAAATACTTTTGTCTTGGCTTATGAAAGCCACTCCATTCGACTAACAAAACCAATCTTAGACAGGCGTGGTAGCTCACGCCTGTAATCCCAGTATTTTGGGAGGCAGAGGCAACAGGATTACTTGAGCCCACAGGTTCCAGACCAGCCTGGACAATTTGGTGAGACCCTGTCTCTACAATAAATCAAAATATTAAATTAGCCAGGTGTGGTGGCACATGCCCTGTGGGTCCAGCTACTTGGAAGGTTGAGGTGGAAGGATCACCTGAGCCCAGCAGATCGAGGCTGCGGTGACCATGAGTGTGCCACTGCACTCTAGCCTGGGCAACAGAGTGAGAATCCAACTAAAAATAAAAAATTTAAAAAATTTTTAAATTAAAAAAAAAAATCTTGAGGTTTACCTCAATTCACGCCTTTGCAAGAATGAAGTGGACATTTCCATATCATTCAGGTTCTAAAGTCATCTTGGTATCAAATATCCAAGTAAGCTATGTTGGTATTTCTCAACCTTTTCCCTGCCCCAGCACTGCTAAGGAACATGGTACGCTCACATTAGCACCAGTGAGGGCTTACAGTAGTGCATATGTGTGGTTTGAAAAACTTCGTCTGTTGATGCTTCTACACTATTGGTGGGAATGTAAACAGTTCAACCTCTATGGAAAGCAGTGTGGTGATTTCTCAAAGAACTAGAAATTGAGCTTCTATATGATCCAGCAATCCCTCTCCTGGGAATATACCCAGAGGAACATAAATCACTCTTCCAAAAAGACACCTTCATACATGTTTATTGCCACACTATTCAAAATAGTAAAAACATGGAGCCAACCCAGATGCTCATCGAAAGTGACTGAACAAAGAAAACGTGATACATATACATGTACATGATGGAATGTTATATAGACATGAAGAAGGACAAAATAATGGCCTTTGCACCAACTTGGATGCAGCTGGAGACCATTATACTAAGTGAACTCACAGAACAAAGAACTGAATACTGCATGTTTTCACTCAAAGTGGGCTCTGAACACTAGTCACACTAGCACTAGAGTGGGATCAGCAGATGCTGGGACACTGCTTGATGAGGGCACATAGCAATACAATGGATATGTGATCCACTGCCAGGGGGCAAGAGGGCCAGCTAGAAGCCCAAACTTCACCTGCACGCAGCCTACTTATGTAGTAAATCCTCACTTGTACCCCACAACTCTAAAATTAAAAAAAAACAAAACTCCCTCTAATGAATTTGATAGACTATGCCATCCCTCCACCATCCTCTAATTGAGATTACAAACTTATGCAAAGGTTTCTGTGTATTTTGTGAATAGCAATTATATGCCTTTTTACCATGAAGTAAAAAGTACAATTTACCTTGTATATAGGTCACAAGCATACCCGAAAAATAAATGTGGTTTTTAAGAACTATCAGCCTAATTTGTTCTTCTATCCAGTGGATTCAGTAGCTAAGTCCTATTGTGAGTTAGTAGTACACTTGGTCCTCTGAATTGCCCTACCCCTTAGTCAGTTTACTGTCATTAAGATGTTTTGTCCTTAATCTGAGGGAAAGTCACCTAAC